TCCTGCTGAGTGTTCAATCCTGTCTGGGCTGTGGGTGTTTTTTCTGCCTTGGGCTCTGGCTGGGTTATAAGCGTCTGTTGTGGTTCAAGTTTTCCATCCGGTCTACTCACTGACTTAGAACCTGGCTCCACTGTTATTATTTCCCCCACTGGAGATGTTGATCTTCCAGGTTTCATCCTTCTAGCCCTGCCACCAGGCTTCCCTCTTCAAGATCTCTTATTGATTCCTCATGATGGCACCTCCCTTTGGGTTTCATTCCTTCGTCCTGGCATCCCTAGTCTTCCTTCTTAAGGCAGCTGGCAAGTGGGCTGATCACTGCTGTGCCCCTGTCTCCACCTTTGGGGGAGGGACTAGGAATAGGAGGCTGTATGCCCAACACGCTCTTACCAGAAGGGAGGGGCTTGCCCTCTTATGTCATAAATAGGGCCCCACCCCACTCACTGCTCAGTTAAAAATGTTCCTTCTCATAAGGCAAGTTTCCCAACTTAGTCCTCTGCTTCTTCTGTGATGACAGAAGCCAGATTCTGGATGAGTGTTCCTTTTCTCCCTCCCCCTTCTGATGTTAAGGAAAGGGTCATGGGGGATGCATTCTTTGTAATTCTTGTAATATTCACCCCCCTTTATTCTTTCCTACAAATGGTTGTTAGTTTAGTCTCCTCATAGTGTTGATCTAATCATCTCATTCCCATGCTAAAAAAAAAGTGAAGTCCTGTCAGTTTTACAGCTTGAAGCCCTTATGATTGGCACTTGAGATCCCCCACACCATCTCTCTTTCTCTGAACTATGGTTGTGTATGTGTATGTGTGTGTGTGTGTGTGTGTGTGTGTGTATGTGTATATATATATATATATATTACAGCTTGGGAATATTGATGATAATAATCATAAATATCGAAGGGAGTCTATATGCTAAGAAATTTTTTTCTTGTGTTTTTGCCATAGGGACTGTGTACTCACTGGAGAGCGAGAAAGAAAAAGAGAGAAAATGAGAAATCACCCTCCAGGGTGCCATCCTTTCTCCATTCTATTCTTGGAATTTTGGACATTCATACATATTTGCTTGGAGTGATTTTCAAGCTGCCGGATCTGGGACTCGAACTGTGGTTGACTATGTGGAAGTCCAGCGGTTTAGCCATGATGCTACCTGCTGGTCCTAGAAAGCGTTTTTCTTTCTTTTAAACCTGTATTATCTTTAATAAGATGTCTGATTCATTGCTATACCTGCTTTCTTTGTCCCATCTTGTTCTTACCTCAGAAAAGTTTATTAAATAAGTAAAAGAATAAAAAGTTGGGCAGTGGAGAAACAGCGAGGGTCGTGATGGGGAGAAATGTGTGTACTGGATCATCATTAAAGTCCTGATGCAATAATAAAGTTCTATGCAATAATGCATCATGACCTTTTTTTTTTTTTTGAAATTAATGACTTTTTTCTTTCTTTCTTTCTTTTTAAAAATAATTTCTTTATTTTATTTTTGAAGTTGACCAGAGAGAGACAATGAGAGAGGAGGAAAGTGAGAAAGCAAGCTGCCATGTCCGGGATTCGAACTGTGGTCAGCTCTGTGGGAGTCCAGCTGTTTTTTTTTTTTTTTTTTTGGGTCCAACTGCCTTAACCACCATTCTACCTGCCAGCCTCACATCAGGACTTTTTTTTGGGGGGGGGGATTTCAAATGTTTTATTGAGTGTAGACACCTGGAGTACTGTAAAACGTGCAGTATCTGTGGATTCAAAAAGGTGCATGCCGCATTGTCCTCACTGTAAATGTGTCAGGCTTTGCATACATGATGGAGATTAATGAATGTAATAGGGTTCCTGAAAAGCTCCTACAATGTGGAGTAGGGTCTTAATCACATGAGAAGCAAAGCAGTAAACTTGTCTTTCATTGGAGGTACACAGTATTTTAATTTTTAAGAAAGAATTATTTACTTAATTTTATTCATTATCATTATATATATATATTTAATTTGACCAGAGAGAGACAGAGAGAGGGGGAAATTGAGATAGCAAGCCACCAGGTCCAGTACTCAACCACAGTCGGCCATGTGGGAGTCCAACACCTCAACCACTATGCCACCTGCTGGCCCTGATGGTTTTAATTTTAAAACAAAAAATAATTTGTAGATTTCCATCCCATCAACTTTATTTGTCTCTTTAGTTTTGAGAAAAATATATTTTTTTTTGGAGAGGTTTTCGCTATAGGGTGCGTGCGCTTGCCAGACAGACAGAGAGAGACATAGAGACAGAAAGCGAGAAATCGCCCCCCAGAGGGGATGGTCACGCCGCAACCCTTCTCCATTCGCCTCTCGGGATCTTGGGCACGCATGCACACATGCCCGGCGTGAGTTTTAAGCCACCGGGTCCGGGATGCAAACCGTGGTCGACTACGTGGGAGTCCAGCGACATAGCCATTATGCTAACTGCTGGTTCCCAGTTTTGAGAAATTTTAATTACCAAAAACAATATGCCTTTTGGAGGCCTACATTTATCTGAGCAACAAAAATAATTTGTTTGTAGAAGATACCCATCCTCTCGACTTCATTTGTCCCTTCAGTTTTCAGAAATTATTTTTTACCTGCTATAGGGTGTGTGCGCTCACCAGACAGAGAGAGACATAGAGACAGAAAGAGAAAGGGAAAGCGAGAAAGTAAGCTGCCAGGTTTGGGACTTGAACCGCAGTTGGCCGCATGGGAATTCAGCACCTTTAACCACTAAGCCACCTGCCAGCCCTCAGTTTGCAGAAATTTTAATTACACACACACACACACAAAATGCCTTTTGGAAGTGTACATTTATCTGAGCAACAACTAACATTTATTTCTTCTTCAATTGTTGAGGTGTCTTACAACAATGTAATTTCTGCCTTGTTGCCTGTACTTTCCAGCAGCCTTGACCGCATTTTCAGAAACTTCCTCTTTAAAATCTTTGTATTTCATTACTTCAGTCATGATGAATCCCTTTTCAAAATCTGTGTGAATCTTCCCTGTAGCCTGGGGAAACACGCGCCCGGCGTGAGTTTCAAGCCACCGGGTCCGGGACGCGAACCGCGGTCGACTACGTGGGAGTCCAGCGACGTAGCCATTACGCTATCTGCTGGTTCCCATCTTCTTCAATTGTTGAGGTGTCTTACAACAATGTAATTTCTGCCTTGTTGCCTGTACTTTCCAGCAGCCTTGACCGCATTTTCAGAAACTTCCTCTTTAAAATCTTTGTATTTCATTACTTCAGTCATGATGAATCCCTTTTCAAAATCTGTGTGAATCTTCCCTGTAGCCTGGGGAAACTTTGTCCCTTTCCTGATGGTCCATGCTCGTACTTCATCTGGGCCCGCAGTGAAGAAGTATTCTACTTGGAGTGCTGCAAGCCCAGCCTTAATGATCTTTGGCAAAGCCCTCTGTGTCATGTTGGCTTCCAGATACTTCTGTCTCTCCTCAGCATTTAAGTCTTGCAACTTGAGTCCCAAGGCCCCACTAAAAGGAATGACCAAGGCACGTGGGCCATACTTGTCCACCTACTCTTTAATTTTTATCAAGCATTTGTTTTTCTTCCTAATGTGGTCTTTTCCAGAAAGATTAACCAGGGAGACCTGATTTTGAAGTGAAAAAATAAGTGTTTATTCAAAACTTCAATCTCTTTGTCATTCCAATCATGATAAGAGTGAATAGGTTTCTTTTGATCTATGACCCAGGATTTGACTTTGGACATTATGTTATATTGAGGTTTTAGTTTTTTATCTCCTCCTCTCACAACCACCTTTTCTAGTTTATCCATTACAGGCCTAATCATCTTCTCATCTTTAAGCTGAAGCTCTTCATGCATTATTATTATTATTATTATTATTTCTAGAGATTTTTGCTATAGAATTTGTGCATTCGCAGGAGAGACAGAGAAAGACAGAGAGACAGAAAATGAGAAATCACTCCCCCTCATGGCCACACGGGGGTGAGGAGAGTTGGGAAGAGGGGGACGGCCATGCTGCAATCCCTTCTCCTCCATTCTCCACTTGGGATTTTGGGCACAGATGCACATTCACCTGGAGTGTTTTAGGCCTCTGGGTCCAGGACTCGAACTGCGGTCGACTCCACGTCCTCTTCGTGGGAGTCCAGCGATGTAACCATTACGCCATCTGCTGGTCCTCCTTCATGTATTATTTCTATATCTAGAATAGTATCTACACTTCCTTTAACATGCATGACATCATCTTCAAAAGTATCCAACATTTGGCAATTCCACAATACCAAATTTTCAGTGAGGTTCCAAATCTTCCAATGACTGGGGGTGGTTTAATTCCATCACCTTCCTTTTTAGATCGTGCTGAGGGTGGGCCATAATGTGGGATCCCAGCGGCAGCAGGAGACAGGTCTTGCCAGGAGCAGGAGGTGGGGAAGAAGGAGAGAGTGCAGGCCCAGGCCCTCTGCCTAGCTGTAAGTAAGTCCGTGGAGAGTTACATTTTAATTTCATTTTGTTATTATTATAATTTAATTTGACCAGAGAGAGGGAAAGGGAGAAACCAAGCCACCAGTTCTGGGACTCAGACTGCTGTCAGCTAAGTGGGGAGTCCAGTACCTTAACCACTATGCCACCTGCTGACCCCCTGGGTTGTGTTTTGAGTAACCAGGGTAAAGTGGATCATCAATATTGAAAATGAGTTGGCAGATCTCATTTGAAAGAAACAGTTTTGTTCTATGACATTTCGTATTTATTGACTTATGTTCACTCATTTCCTGATTATACTTAAGGGTAAGTGGGACCAACTAGGAAACTGGGGTTTCCTAGATTCTTTCAGATCAAGCCTGGGTAAAGGGAACAGCTGATGAGAAAAAGGCACCACGGGAGCATCTTGGAAAATGCCTTTTGAGAGCATTGGAACGTTTTAGGGAGTGAATACAGGAGATTAGGAGAATAAGAAAACTGTCTAGGAGCACTCACTGCCTTCTTCTGAGAATGTTAAATTGGGAAAGTGGGCTCCCGGAGCTCCTATAAAGGCAGAGCAAAGCTTGCTAGTTGACATCGTTTGAGAAATTGCTGGCAGGCTCTGGAGTGCTTGTTTGTCTGCTTGTGCCTTCGGTGCCCTAAGATGAAAACAAAGGGGGGAGAGGCTGGTGTTAAAAACATTTTAAAATGTTCATTTTAATGAGACCCTTTTTTTTTTGTTTGTTTTTGAGAGATTTTTGTCACAGGGTGTGTGCATTTGCTAGAAAAGTAGAGACAAAGAGACAGAAAGTGAGAAAATACGCCCTAGAGGGGATGGCCACACGGCACTCCCTTCTCCTCCATTCTCCTCTCAGGATTTGGGGCATGCAGGCACACTTGTCCATGTTAGTTTTAAGCCACCGGGTCTGGGACTTGAACCCCAGTTGACTGTGGGAGTCCAGCAATGTAACCATTATTCCATCTGCTGACCCCTTAATGAGAGCTTTTAAAATCATAAAAAGTCTAATGAAAATAATTCTTTTTAAAACCCAGTGAAAAGTAAAAAGTCCTCCCATTCTAATATCTACTCTCTAGAGCTAAACACTGTTGACTTTTTTCTATACAAAAATGAGTCCGGACTTTTCTGATGATCCAATAGTTTGCTACTTATTCTTCCAGATCTTTTGGTATATAAACATAATGGTTTACTTTAAAAATAAAAAAATGAGATTATACTACATATATTGCTTTGCTCTGAACCTTTAAACATTTTCTTTTCTTTAAAAATTGTTTATTGGGACCAGCAGTTCGCGTAATGGCTATGTCACTGGACTTCCACGTAGTTGACCACGGTTTGAGTCTGGGACCTGCCGGCTTAAACTGACACCGGGTGCGTGTGTGTGCATGCCCAAGATCCCGAGAGGAGAATGGAGGAGAAGGGATTGCAGTGTGACCATCCCCCCTGGGGGGTGATTTCTCTCTTTCTGTCACTCTGTCTTTCTCTGTCTTTCTGGCGAGCTCATGAGCCCTATAGCAAAAACCTCCGCTCCCCCCAAAAATTTAAATTTAATTTTATTTATTATTATTATTTTTTAATTTGACCAGAGAGAGAAAGAGGGAGAGAGAGAGAGATAGGGGGGAAATGAGAGAGCAAGACTTCAGATCCAGGACTTGGACCATGGTTGGCCATGTGGGAGTCTAGTGCTTTAACCACCACACCACTGCCAGCCCCTGCTATGAACCTTTAACATATTTTTTATTATTGCAAAGTATTGTACACCTGTAGAACTTCATAAAAACTTATACATACAGTTCAGTGATTTGTTATAAAGCAGATATTCATGACACTACTATCTAGCTTAGAAATAGAATATTACCAGCAGCCTTCCTTCTTTTTCTATCACTACCCTCCTTCTCCCCTTCACAGAGGTACTCTTTTTTTTTTTTTGGAGAGATTTTCACTTTAGGGCGCGTGCGCTCGCCAGACAGACAGACATAGAGACAGAAAGCGAGAAATCACCCCCCAGGGGGGATGGTCACGCCGCAACCCCTTCTCCTCCATTCTCCTCTTGGGATCTTGGGCACGCACGCACACGCGCCCGACGTGAGTTCTAAGCCACCGGGTCCAGGACGCAAACTGCGGTTGACTCCGTGGGAGTCCAGCGACATAGCCATTACGCTAACTGCTGGTTCCCCCCACAGAGGTACTCTTGACTTTTATAGTAATCATTTACTAATCATAGTCATCATTTAATCTTTTATTGTTTTATCAACTTCATATACATATTCCTAAATTATTTAGTTCAATTTTGCCTGAAAAAAAATTTTTTTTTTTGAGAGGTTTTTGCTTATGGAGCGCATGCGCTCGACAGAAAGACAAACAGAGAGACAGAAATTGAGAAATCACCCCCCCACCCAAGGAGGGATGGCCACACCGCAATACCTTCTCTTTTCTCCTCTCAGGATCCTGGACACACATGCATGCGCACCTGGCATGAGTTTAAGTCACTGGATCTGGAACTCGAACCACAGTCATCTGCATGGGAGTCCAATGACATAGCCATTATGCCAATTGCTGGTCCCAATTTTGCCTGATTTTGAACTTTATGCGTATGCTATGGTCTGAATGTTTATGTCCTCACAAAATTCATATGTTGAGGGACCAGCAGTTGGCGTAATGGCTATGTTGCTGGGACCAGCAGTTGATGTAATGGCTATGTCCCTGGACTCCCACGTAGTCGACCACAGTTCGAGTCCCGGACCTGGTGGCTTACTGTGCATGCGTGCCCAAGATCCCGAAAGGAGAATGGAGGAGAAGAGATTGCAGCATAGTCATCCCCCCTGGGGGGTGATTTCTCATTTTCTGTCTCTCTGTCTCTCTGTCTTTCTGGTGAGTGCACACACCCTATAACACAAACCTCTCCCAAAAAGATTTGTATGTTGAAATCCCAATCATTAAGGTGGTGATATTAAGAGCTGTGGCCTTTGGGAGGTGATCATGGAATGGAGTACTCATGAATGTGTCTAGTGCCCTTAAAAAGAGGTTGAGGAATCAGTTTAATTGCCCCTTCTGCCATGGGAGGTTTGAGTGAGAAGACTGCTTGCCAGTGAAGAAGGGGACCCTCACCAGCTACTGAATTTATTAGCTTCTTGATCTTGGATGGCATAACCTCCAGAACCGTGAGAAATAAGTTTCTGTTGTTTATAACCACCCCATCTATGGTACTTTGTTATAGCAACCCAAAAAGACCATGACCATATATGATATCATACTATAGCTACTTTTCTTTTTCTTTCTTTCTTTCTTTCTTTCTCTCTCTCTCTCTCTCTCTCTCTCTCTCTCTCTCTCTCTCTCTCTCTCTCTCTCTCTCTCTCTCTCTCTCTCTCTCTCTCTCTCTCTCTCTCTCTCTCTCTCTCTCTCTCTCTCTCTCTCTCTCTCTCTCTCTCTCTCTCTTTCTTTCTTTCTTTCTTTCTTTTTTAAAAAAACAACAAACAAAAAACAACTCAGTGTTATGTTTGTAAGATTCATTTATGGGGACCAGCAGTTAGCATAATGGCTATGTCGCTGGATTCCCATGTAGTCGACCGAGGTTTGTATCCCAGAACCAGTGGCTTAAAACTCATGCCGGGCGCGTGTGCGTGCGTGCCCAAGATCCCGAGAGGAGAATGGAGGAGAAGGGATTGCGGCGTGACCATCCCCCCTGGGGGGTGGTTTCTTGCTTTCTGTCTCTCTGTCTCTCTCTGTCTGTCTGGTGAGTGCATGTGCCCTATAGCAAAAATCTCTCAAAACAAAGGTGAATTTACGTTGTTACATGTCCTTTCATTCTCACTGATATATAATGTTGTAACATACCATAATGTATTTACTCATCCTACTCTAGATGGACATTTGGTCAGTTTCCAGTTTGGGGCAGTTATGAGCAGCAGTGCTATAGAATTCTTGTACATGTCTTCTGATATACAAAAGCCTTGCTTTCCTTTCGAGTATATAGCCAAGAGTAGAATTGCTTGGTCACAGAGTACACATAGCTAAACTTAAGCAAATAACTGCCCAAACTTTTTCAAAGTGATTTACCGGACCAGCTGGTTAGGCAGCTAGATCCCACATGATCTACCAGTTGTCAAGTCCTAGACCTGGCAACTTGAAAAATACACTGGGCATGTGTGTTTGTGTTCTCAATATCCCAAAAGGAGGGAGAAATGGAAGAGAAGGAACTGTAGTATGGCCATCCCCCATGGGGGATGCTTTTGTAATTTACCAAATTTAGTTTCTCTGCTCTACTGTCTGCCAGGGCTTGGTCTTGTCAGATTTTAGTTTTTGCCAATCTGGTGATTGCAAAATGATATCGTATTTTGCTCTTAATTTGCATCTTTCAAAAAGTAACATGGGGGACCAGCAGTTAACATAATGGCTATGTCGCTGGACTCCCATGTAGTCGACTGCGGTTCGCATCCTGGACCCGGCGGCTTAAAACTCACGCTGGGCGCATGTGCGTCCATGCTCAAGATCCCGAGAGGAGAACGGAGAAGGGATTGTGGTGTGGCCATCCTCCCTGGGAGGCGATTTCTCGCTTTCTGTCTCTCTGTCTCTCTCTGTCTGGTGAGCGCATGCACCCTACGGCAAAAACCTCTCAAAAAAAAAAAAAAAGTAACATGGTCCAGTGCCGTGTAATATGTTTATTAGCTATTTGAATTTCCTCATCTGCCTGGTTGTTTTTCAGGTCTTTCACCTATTTGTTGTATTGCCTGTCTTCCTCTCTCAAGCCCTTCTGGAACTCAAACCACTGTCAGCCATGTGGGAATCCAGTGCCTTATTCACCATGCCACCTGCTGTCCCCCAAATCAACTTTCTCAATCTTTTCTTTTACGGTTTGTGCATTTGTATCTTGTTTAAGAAAAAAAAAATTTTTACCCCAAGATCATGAATATATCTTCCTACTCTCTGTCATGAATGCCTTTCAAATTTAGATCTTTAATCCACCTGAAATTTATTTTTTCTGTGAAGAATGTGAAGTAGAGGTCTGTATGTCTTTTTTTTCCCCACTTAATATATTGTAGCTATCTTTCTAGTCATAATAATAATAGTTCACCTCATCATTTAAAAAATAAAGTTTATTGGGAGCTGGCAGGTGGCGTGGTGGTTAGGGGTCCTGGACTCCCACATGGCTGACTGTGGTTCAAGTCCCAGACTTGGCGTCTTGCTTTCCCACTTTCTCTCTCTTTCTTTCTCTCACTTTGTCCCTCTCTGGTCAAATTAAAATAATAAATAAAGTTAAATAATTCTTAAGAAAATAAAGTTTATTGAAAGAGAGAGAAGTGGCATCTTCCAATGGGACAGGGTCACACTGCAATCCTTTTTCCTCCATTTTCCATCCTGCTAGGACTTTGGGCAAGCACACGTATGCCCCTGGTGTATTTTTCAAACTGCTGGGGCCAGAATTCAAACCATGGTCAGCTGTGTAGGATCTAGCTACATTAGCTTAACTGTTGCATTACAGACAATATCCTAATATAGTTGAGATTTATCAAAGTAAGGTTACTAGGTTAAAGGTACACTCATTTAAATACTTTTTTCAAGCTTCTGGGGCTGAGACTCAAGCTCTGACTCCCTTAACTAGTAGGCCATGGAGCTGGCCTACTCCTTCAAAATTTTTAATGGGTACTGCCAAATATATTTTACTTCCATTAGCAGTGTATGAGTACCCTGATTTATCTCATTCTTGAGATCATGATATTAATCAGTTTAACATTTGCTAATTTACTTTTTTTTTTTTTTAATTTTAGCTATAGGTTGCGAGCACTCACCAAAGTGAGACAGAGGAGGGGTAGTGACAAAGCATTCCCCAGGAGGGATGGCATGAAAAGATCCCTTTCCTTCCATTCTCCTTTCAGGATTTTGGGAACCCATGCACACATGCCCAGCATGTTTTCCAAGCCACCAGGTCTGAGACTTGAACAGTGCTGTCAGTCGTGTGGAATCCAGATATCCCAACCACCATTCTACTGCTGGCCTGCCAATTTGCATTTTATGTGACACTTAAAAACTGCTAGGCTGGGACCAGCAGTTGGTGTAATGGCTATGTCGCTGGACTCCCATGTAGTCGACTGTGGTTCGAGTCCCAGACCTGATGTCTTAAACTCATGCTGGGTATGTGCATGCCCAAGAACCCAAGAGGAGAAAAGAGGAGAAGGGATTGCAGGCCGGTGTGGCCATCCCTCCTGGGGGGTGATTTCTTGCTTTTTGTTTCTCTGTCGCTCTCTGTCTTTTGGGTGAGCGCACATGCCCTATAGCAAAAATACCTCTCAAAAAACCAAAACAAACAAAAAAACTGTTAGGCTAGGACCAGCAGATGGCATAATGAGTTACATCACTGGACTCCCACATGGTTGACTGTAGTTCATGTCCCAGACCTGGAAACTTGAAACTCACGCTGGGTGTACGTGCATGCATGCCCAAAATCCTAAGAGGAGAATGGAGGAGAATGGATTGTGGCATGGCCATCACCCTTGAGGATTTCTCACTTTCTATCTCTCTGTCTCTTCACTGAGCGCACATGTCCTATAGAAAAAAATCTCTCTAAAAAACCAAAAAACCCCTGCTAGATGAGGGAGGAGTCAAATTCTGTTTGACACTGACATTGATATACTCTTCAGAGAACAGTGACCAGGTCCCTAACAGCCCCATCACCCTTTACTTTGATAAGTAATAGTTTTAAAATCTAAGAATTAAAAAAAAGTTTATTTAATTTCTTTCATGAGAGAGAGGGAGTTCCCAATAGACAGCGATAGGCACCCTTAGATCTCCTGGGATTCCCCTTTCCTCAGCCCTCTAGCTAGTCAGGATCTTGGGCACGCGTGTACCCATACAGTATGTTTCAGGCCAACTCAAGATCTGAACCCTGTGGTCAGCTATGTGGCTTCTAGCACTGCAGATCATTTTATTACTGCCCATGCCACCACAGTTGGGTCTGAAATCTAGGAATCTGGTTAAGTCTTTCTAGTATTAGAAACTTTGTATTCTACTTTTCTTGCTCTTCCTATTTCTCCCCAAATCGACTGAGTAGGAGAGGCTGAGGTGTATGTCTTCATTTCGCCTCTGCTGTCTGTTCTCAACCTCTGCTTCATCCCTAGTGAGCCTGGTTTAAGTAAGGTCTTCTGTTGAAACTTACTGGTTTTCTTCACGTGGCCCTTGAGATGATCGCAGGGACACTGCTTCTTTGGACGCCCAGGCACTGTCATGAGTTTTCCTTTAGGGGCTCTCAGGAACCAATCTGAAATAACAGGGTTGTACTCAGATGGGGGAGTGATATGCTTGAGGGTAGGGGGGCTAGAGCTGCCGTTCTCAGTGCCTTCCAGCTCCTATTCTGTACTGCAGTGGGACAGGGAAGGGGGTCAACACAGAGCAATGGAGACATTCAGCTACTCGAATGAGGATTTCTGAGTTGCTCCTGACCTAGGAGGGTGAGCATTTGGTGTCAGGTTTGGAGGGGGCATCAGGATATCACTAGGGACACTGAAGGAGTAAGATCCTGTCATCTGCCTTCCAGTGGCTATTTCACCTCGGGCAAGTTAGTCTTTCCAGTGAGTAAAATGAGGCTGAGAATAGGAGCCAGCAAGTTTTTGGAAGGCCAGGAAAAAGTAAAAAGCCATTTGGAAGGCAGCCCTGGTTCTTTGGGAAAAAGGTTAGGGCCAGTAGACTGCGATTTGGTCAATTCCCACCGAGGCCTGCGTGCGAGTCTGGTTCTTTCCCGAGACTCAAGAAGAAAGTGGGCATTGGTAAAGCACATGGTGGACAGAGGGGTGGGCCAAGTCAGCTCGGATAACAGCTCCACTGTCTCAGGGGAGATAACGGGTCACAGTGGCAGCATTGCTGTTGTTGATGCTGAGTTACTGACCTTTGCACTCACAATCTTGGCCGCCTTCCTGGAGCCACCTCCCAGAAGCCTGGCGTTGGTCCCTATGGCTTCTGGCAACTCCTGCTGGAAGGAAGTTGGTCAGTTCCAGGTACAGGAAAGGGAAGGGGCCACCAGAAATGGGCCCCTAGCAGTACGCTACTTAGGTCAGAGTATTTCAGTTTCTCCTTTTTTTTTTTTTTAAATGTTTGTTTTTAGTTTTGGTATAGGGTGTATGTGCTTTAGAGAGAGACAGCAATAGAGAGAGAGGGAAAGTGAGAAATCACCCCTCCAGGAGATGGCCACACTGCAGTCTCTTCTCCATTCTTGTCTCCTGATTTTGGGCACACACACACACACACACCCAACATGTTTTTTAAGCCGCCGGTCTGGGACTGGAACTGTGCAGTCATGTGGGATCCAGTATCTTAACCTAACCATCTGCTGGCCGCCTTCTCTCTCGCTCTCTTTTTTTTAACCTTAGGGATTTAGGTTGCTTCAAGACAGGAGTATTTTTTAAAAATTATTTTACTTACTCATTCATTTATTTTGATTTGACCAGAGAGAGACAGAGAGAGCGAGAGTGGGGGAAAGTGAGAAAGCAAGCCACCAGGTCTGGGACTCAAACCATGGTTGGCCATGTGGGAATGTCCAGCACCTTAACCATCACACCACCTGCTGGTCCCCAAGACAGGAATATTTTAAATGGATAAAGAATTGGGGTTTAAAATCTAGCTTAGAGGGGCTGGCCGGTGGCATGGTGGTTAAGGGCGCTGGACTCCCACATGGCCGACTGCAGTTTGAGTCCCAGACCTGGTGGCTTTCTCTTTCTCTCGCTCACTTTGTCCCTCTGTGGTCAAATTAAAATAAATAAATAAATAAAGTTCAATAAAATAATTCTTTTTTTTTTACTTTTTTTTTTTTTTGAGAGATTTTTGTTATAGGGCGTGTGTGCTTGCCAGACAGACAGAGAGAGACAGAGATACAGAAAGCGAGAAATCACCATCCCCAGGGGGGATAGCCATGCTGCAATCTCTTCTCCTCCATTCTCCTCTCAGGATCTTGGGCACTCACGCACATGCGCCTGGCGTGAATTTTAAGACACCGGGTCCAGGATGCGAACCGCAGTCGCCTACATGGGAGTCCAGCGACATAGCCATTACACTAACTGCTGGTCCCAATAAAATAATTCTTTAAAAAATATCTGGCTTAGAGAAAAGCTTAACTGAAGGTAGGTAAAGAAAGAATGACTTCTAGATGGAAGATAAGGTAAAAGTTTACATTCTCGTCTTGTCCCTTACGTTAAAATTTTCATGATTTAAGGAATGAGGGTAAGGGGCAGATTATTTCACAAACCAAGATCTTCACTTTACCTGTAAGAAGCTGTATTTGAATCCACAATCCCAGTTTAACAATAAGAGGATGGTATTTACTTTTGTTTCTATGGTACAAATATTTTCCTCTTTTGGTCTCTATTCAAACCTGTTTTATTATCCTATTCTGTCTTACTTCCATTTAGTGATACCTGAAATATTTTTATGACAATCAAGGATGACAGTTATAGACTTGAGATTTGCAAACCCACATGACACCTCCTCTGTATAATAGTTTCTTTTTTCTTTTTTCTTTTTTTTTTGAGAGAGATTTTTTTGTGATAGGGCGCATACACTTGGCAGAGAGACAGAGACAGAAAGTGAGAAATCATACCCTGGAGGATGGCCACACTGCAATTCCTTCTCCTCCATTCTCCTTTTGGGGTTTTGGGCACTCATGCACATGTATCTGGCCTGAGTGTCAAGCCACCAGGTCTAGGACTTGAACCTCAGTTGACTACGTGGGAGTCCAGCAACGCAACTCCTACGCCATCTGCTGGTCCCTGTATAATAATTTCTAATATTTCCTACTAGAATTAATTATGCCTTCACATAGTTCCCGTTATAACTGAGTACAGTTCTGTTGTACCGTTATAGTTTGTTTTTTGAAATCTGTTAGCAACTAAATTATGCCCCTTAAATTTCACATGTTGAAGCCTTACCCTCTAGCACTATGGAATGTTTCTGGAAAAAGGGCCTTTAAAGAGGTGATAAAGTTAGAATGAGGCCATTAGGTTGGGCCCTAATGGAAGGCTTATATGAAGACTCCTGAACATGCACACACAAACCCTAGGGAGTTTATACACAGGGAAACAACTATGTGAAAACATTCCAAAAAAAAGTAGTTGTATGGACTGAATGTTTATTTCCCTCAAAATTCATATGTTGAACTCCTAATCCCCAAAGTGACGGTATTAGGAGGTAGGGCCTTTGGAAGGTAATTAGGTCATCTGGGTAGAGCTTTATGAATATAATTAGTGCCCTTACAAAAGGGACCGCACGAAACTCTTTTTCTGCTTATGAAGGTACAAGGAAAAATTGGCTGTCTCTAGCCTGGAAGAAGATCCTTACCTGAATCCAATCACGCTGGCACCCTGACCTCAGATATCCAGTCTCCAGAACTATGAAAAATGAATTTCTGTTGTTTACGAGCCACCCAGTCTATGGGACTTGTTATAGCAACAGCTCAAACTAAGACAGTGGCCACTTGCCAGCCCAGAAGAGAGGCCTCAGTAGAAACTACACCTCCTGGCACCTTGATCTCGGATTTCCAGCCTTCAGAATTGTGAGAAAATGAATTTCTGTTGTTTAGGACACCTAATCTATGGTATTTCGTTATGGCAGCCCGAGAAAAATAAAACAAAATATTCCTTAGTAAACTTTGAGTCAATAATTCAGCACTTCATTCAGCCACATGGTTCCAAGCACGTGGAAAATATTTGGTAAATGTTTGTTCAATAAGTAGGTTGCCAAGGTTTTTGGAGAGGGCCCTTAGAGATCATCCGGTTCAATTCGGGTCTCTGTTTCCCCAGATTGTGCTCTTTCTGCCACATGGGTGGAAGGTGTTGCATCATTTCCCCGAGTGCTAGTTTTCAAGTGTTCTCTAGTGCTGCTTTGGGTGTTGTAATGTAAACAGGCATGCTCCTGTCATCTAAACTTTTCTAATATTTCACTCTTGCTTGACCTCTACTCCTAGTTCAGAGAAAAACCAACGGAATGCTAGAGCCAGAAGGAATCTTAGAGATTATCTAGTTGAATCTCTTAAATGAGAAGTTTGTTCCTTTCTCTTTTTTTATTGCCAGAGACCCATGAATTCAGACAGAGAGAGACAGAGAGACAGAGAAAGAGGCAAAGAGAGAGGTAGACAGAGAGAGTGAGTGAGTGAGAGAAAGCACTCCCCAATGGGGCATGGTCATACTGCAAAACCCCTTTCTCCATTCTCGCTTCCTGTCAGGATTTTGGTCATGCACACACATGTGCCTGATGTGTGTGTGTGTTTTTAAAAAAATAGTCGTCAGGGCTGGGATTTGAACCAGGGTTGGCTGTGTGGGATCTGATATCTTAGTTGCTATACTGTGGGGCCAACTAGAGAAGTTTTTTCATTCTAAATGTCATGTAACCATATTAGAGAAAAAATGGGAAGTACAAAGAGATCATTACATTACCAACTATTGGTGTTTTGGTATATTTGTTACCTGCGTATGGTTTTCTTTCTATGGTGATAGCCATATGTCTCTATCTATACATCTATATCTATCTGTAATTTGCCATAGGGCATGTATGCTTGCCAGAGATAGAGAGGGGGAGGGGAGAAAGCCACGGAATGTTAGAGCCAGAAAGAATTCTGGAGATTATTTAGTTGAATCCCTTAAATGGAAGGTTTTTTTTTTTTTTCCCTCCCTTTTTTATTGCCAGAGGACCCATGTGCTCAGAGAGGCCTCAGAAGAAACCAAACATATTGGCGCCTTGATCTTGGATTTCCAGCCTCCAGAACTGGAATCCTTTTTTCTCTATTTCTTTATCCTATTGGGATTTTGTTTTGGCCATGCATGCACACATGCCCAGTGTATTTTCAAGTCTCTGAGACTGGGATTTGAACCATGTAAGTTGATCATGTGAGATCTGGCTCCCTGAACCATTAGGCTACAGGGTTGCCTAACAGACTTTTTCAAAAAAATCTTTTATTCTTCATACTTTTCGAGGAACAGTATTTCTAGTGGGGATTAGTGACATGAAAATCAGCCTCCAGCCATCAGCAGCTGCCCTGCTCAGGGCCTAGGCTCCCCATGGCCCC